AGCCTCTCAGGGGATCCGCGCTTCCAAAAAGGTTGAAAACCACTGCCCTAGACTAATAGTTTTATGATTGGATTGGCCTTTGGCCCTCCATCATATTTTCCAGATATATCCCTGTATATATATAACTTAATCATCCAGTCAGTGTTGAGTCTTATCTAACTATTTTTTGTACCTTTAGGTTAAGTTATAGCAAAGATAAATTTTCTCTGCACAGTCTCTTATTAACTATATATAGTATAGTATAAGCTATTCAAATAAGAAGTACTTTGTGAAACTTCATAAAAAAAACAACATATAACACGCCAGTATAATAATGCAGAAATTATTAAAGAATCAACAAAATATGAAAAACGAGATTAATTTCAACAGGCCAAGCTTCTTATTCTCAAGGGACAGAGAGAAACTGTTCTTAACTTCTTGTACATTCAGGTACTGAATGATGAACGTTCACTGATGGTTTTAGAGTACAAAAACTAATTAGAAATATAACTTATAAGCACAGTTACAATAAAAAGAAGCCCACCAAATGGGGCATTTATTCTGTTTATTGTGCTTGTATTAGTCAGAGTTGGAGTAAAGGAATATGAAAGCTACTATTTTTGAAAAGGATGGTAAAAAAATCAACTTTAATATTGCATGTTCGTACAATCAGCCACATAATGTTTAACAATGAAAAGTCATTGGTGAATTAAAATTCTTCCATTAATACGACATGAGAATCAATAAAAATATTTAAAAATAGAGAAAACTTACTCAATAATTAAATGGGATTTGAAATAAACTGCATTCAGTATTAGTTTTTTTCTAACTAGTTTTTGCAATGTTCATGAATTTTGAACTTGAACATACTAGACCTGTGAAGTATTACTCTGTCCAATGAGACTGACAAAGTTGTCATGTCAAAACTAAGTCATTTAGTATTTTTTTTATTTGAGGATTCTTTCATCATCTGTGCGTTATTACTGTTGTGTTATTACTATTTTTTATCTTTTCTTTTTATAACTATGAACCACACGGTGTAATAGCCTTTTTTTTTAACTTTTGGATGAATTCACTAATCCTAGACTGTGGTTATTCATTTCATTAAGAAAACAGTAACCCCAAAATTGTTTTTAAGACACAATTTTTTCCATATCTTTACATGTAGGCCTCCAGCTTTGAGAATGAGTATAGTCAGTGTTTCTGTCAAGTACTTTTTTTTAAATATATCTAATACTAGTACTCCTTAGGCCCATTAGTACTAACAGCAATACTATTACAGTAGTACTAAGCCTAGAAGTAGTTAATAATGGCTGGAGACGGCTTGACTGGGTAATGAAGAAAACCTTTAATATAAGTTTAACATAACAGCAAATGTAAATTTTTCGACAAGGTTTTGTCATCATCAGGTACCTTGTCG